GGGACCCCGTGAGGCTCCTCCTCGCAGCGGCGACCCGGAAGGAAGGCGCGTCCTTTTAGTTCAGCCAAAACTGCAAAAACAGCCACAGTCCTTCCTCGGAGCATTGGGACCCGCCCCAGCCCCCAAGAGCCTATAGGAATGGTGCTACGTAGAGGAAAGAGCCAATCAGGTGCCCAGTGGGCGGGGCCCTCTGACCTCAAAGGCAGAGCCCAGGCGGGGGCCGGAAGCCGCCGCGGGGAGGAGCCGCCGCCGCGTCTCCCTGCACCTGAATGACGCGTTTCCACCGGCGTCCACGCTGCCGGGCAGCCTCCATCAAATCGCGCTGGCATTCCTGAGCATCGTCCGGGTTCCAGGCGCTAATTTCACAACAACCCTGCAGGGAGGTTATTACTAGTCGCATTTTACGGAGGAGGAACTTGAGGCTCAGAGACGTTAAATAACTTGTTCAAAGCCACACAACCAGGAAACGACAAAGCTTAGACGCTCTGCTTTGAACTGCCTCCAATCGAATTTCTAACTGCAGCAATTCTTCAGGTAACTTCCTCAATGAAGCCTTCCTGGCATCTGTGCTGTGTTCTCTCCTGGCTCTTCTCACGCTGGCCCCTCACAGCCCGCCCCCTCTTCCGAGTCCTCATCGCCCACCAACCCCCCACCCCACCCACCTCCTCATTCAGCCGTTCAAGCCACAGTGGTTTCTGTTTCTCTTCCTGGACTGTACCAAGCTGGTTCCTGCCTGCGGGTCCCTGCATCTGTCCACTGCCCGGCTGGCTCTTGGTCACATACCCTCCTTAACATTCTAGCTACAGTAGCTGGCCAGCCTTTGTCACATAATGCCCTTTTTTTCTTTCTGAGCACCGTCTCACTAACATTATATTAATTTGCTTCCTAGTTAGTCATCAGCCTTCCCGCCTCACCAGAATGTCAGTGTCGTGAGGACAGAACTGTGCCTGTCACATTCCCTGCAACGTCCTGAGGCTGACTCAGTGCCTGGTGCAAATTGTTGACATCCACTTATCACAGTAAACCCAAAATACGCATCTCATGATAACAAAGTTGCTTCACAGTTGGGCTGGAATGAGATTGGACCCTGTTCTTCGCCTAGCTCCTGTTCTAAAAGGAAGGAAGGGTAGGATGTCACCGCCTGTGACCATTTGGTATTTGGCATATCTGGGACTGTCCCTCCCTGGCCCTAGGTCAGCATACATAGTTTCTGTATCAGCTGCTCCAGGCCTATGCCTGCATTCATGAATGAGCTGTGAAGAGCCAAGGTCAACAACTGGAGTTTCTGCCAGGAAGTCACACGCATCACTCCAACTCACATTGGTAAAAGCCAGTCCTGGGCCACTTCTACTAGTAACCTCAAGGAGGCAGGAAACTTCTCTCCTACCAAGTGCCAAAGAAGGACAAATGGAGTATCTGTGACCAGACTACCCTCCATCTTTACTTTTAGACTTTTTGAGACAGTACAGAATTCCAGGGAGGAAAAAAGTTTATTACTGTCATACTGCCCTCATGTAGGTTTCTGTGGATATTGTTTGTAGAACTCAGGGTTTCTATTTCACCCCCTCCGTTCATCCCAGGCAGTGGCTTCTTCACTGCAGTATTCCTACACACAGGGCAGAATGAAGCATTAGCAAATTTCAATAAATAATAGTTTAATAAACAAAAATCTGACTCCCAAGTTCTGTTCCTTACCCTACACCAGGCTCTGGGGTGGGCATCCTCTCCAGGCCATGGCTGACAAGGAATCCTTCCACAGAACTGGCTTACTGGTAGCAAGGGGGGTCCCAAAATAATAAAGACAAGATGGTAGTCCTGCCAGTGTTGCTCAGCGGTTGAGCATCGACCTATGAACCTGGAGGTCACGGTTCAATTCCTGGTCAGGGCACATGCCCGGGTTGTGGGCTAGGTCCCCAGTGTGGGGTGTGCAAAAAGCAGCCGATCAATGATTCTCTCACATCCTCTCTCTCTCTCTCTCTCTCTCTCTCTCTCTCTCTCTCTTCCTCTCTGAAATCGATAGAAATATATATTTTTAAATAAAAAGACAAGATGGTAGTGCTCAGCTGTTAGGAGCAGTGGTTGCCATCGTCATATACCATTGAGGTCAAAGTAGTAGCCAGAAGGCTGAATAGATCACTGGGATAATCAGCAGAACACCCACTTTGGTTCCTTGGTTTGAGTGGTGAGAGATTTCATAGAAGTGAACGTCCCTGAAACTCCTCCTCACTCACCCACATCAGCCAAGATAATAAATAAAAAACAATCTCCCGTACCAGGGAAAATGGCAAAGATTAGTGCCACCTTTGAAGACCTAAAACATGTGGAAAGGGTCGGGGTCCATCACATCCCTACTTAATTCATCAGTTTGGCCTTGGAAAAATGGAGATTGATAGTAGATTGCTGCAAACAACAAAGTACTAGTAGTAGCCCAAATTGCAGCTGCTGAGCTAGTGTCAGGGCTAGGACAGATCGGTATGGCCACAGATGGGTAGACTTTGATCTAACCATCCCTATCAGGATCTGTTTGCATTCACAGGTAGGGACAGCAGTTTACTTATGGTCTTGCCCCAGGCCTATGGTCACTCCCCACATTGTCATAATATAGTCTGAAGAGCCCAGGCCATCTAGACATTTTGCAGAATATGGCTTTGATTTATTATACCAACTAGAGGCCCGGTGCACAAAAATTTGTGCCCTCTCGCAGTCTGGGACCCCTCGGGGGATGACCACCTGCTGGCTTAGGCCCGCTCCCCGGGGGATTGGGCCTAAGCTGGCAGTCAGATATCCCTCTGGCAGCCCGGGAGCCCTCGGGGGATGTCCACTTGCCAGCAGGGAGCAGGCCTAAGCTGCAGTCGGACATCCTTAGCGCTGCTGAGTAGGAGGGAGAGGCTCCCACCACCAACGCTGTATTGGCAGCCATCAGCCTGGCTTGTGGCTGAGCAGAGCAACCCCTGTGGGAGCGCACTGACCACCAGGGGGCAGCTCCTGCATTGAGCATCTGCCCCCTGGTGGTCAGTGTGTGTCATAGTGACCAGTCATTCCCAGTTGTTCTGCTGTTAGGGTCAATTTGCATATTACCCTTTTATTATATAG